CCCTCTCTCATTACTTCAAGCCAGCAGGTTTAAAAAAAAAAAAAGTCGTGTAGGCCAAAGCCCTGGAACTTGCCGTAAATAATTGTGAGGTTTCAAGACCAGGACCTTTCGCTTTTGCCAATCGTAAAATATAATTAGAACTCACAAACTTTGTGTGTAGTGATACGGCCTTCGCAACACACGCTTTTTTATGTTTGGCTACAGTCCACGGAAGAAGGGGAGGTAACGGTCTTTTGGGGCTACAAAATAAACATACGAGGCAGTCGCCTATCATGCTACAGCTACACAATATAACACGATCACCTTAGTATCTCGTGCCAAATTTAATTACGAAATGTATTTCTTTGCTTGCTTTTCCCCCCCCCCCGACACTAAAACTTTTGTAAAAACGTGCTTCGCTATCTGGCTGAACGACCGTCAGTTGAAAAGTAGCGGTTGAACCCGAGAAAACAATAATGATAATAATAATGATTAGCTTTCAGATAATAGAATAGTGCATGCACATGGCAGAGCAGGTGACTGAGACAAACGGGCTTTGGAAGGAAGAAACTCGGGCTGCAATTAACGCAGCGGAAGCTTCCGCTGCGTCCACAGGTGCGGAATGTCGAGCGGGCGGCGTTGGAGTTCACCGTATCCTGGAGGAGCCCTTCACGTCAATCACCAACGCCTGGCCTCCCCCACTCCGGAGCACCCACCGCCACCACCCAACCTCCCTCCCTCTCTCTCGGGCTACCACTTGCTCCATCTACAGATCCACCATCATTACCAAGGCAGGCAGGTGTGAATGAGGAGAGTGGGGCTAGCTGGGGCTGGTCGGGGGATGAGAGGGGGGGTATGGAGGGGCCGGAGGAGAGAGGTGGTGGTGGGGGGGTGTTTTGGCTATTGGGAGAACGCTGGGAGTGTTTTGTGTGGGCTGTGATTTGGAGGAAGGGTGGCTGGGAATGGTAGCGAGTCGGGCGGCGACTGCGCGTGTGTGTGCGCGTGTGTGTGCGTGTGTGTGTGCGTGTGTGCGCATGTGTGCGCGAGTGTGTGTGCGCGTGTGCGTGCGTGCGACTGTGTGCGCGTGTGTGCGTGCGTGTGTGTGTGTGCGCGCGTGTGCACTGCGTGAGCCTCCCTGCTGTGCATAACCTTGTTGATCATTAGAAAAGGAGGACTCTTTTGAACCACGCAAACCCCACACGGTGGTAGGCATGGTTTATTGTCAATTATGAATCAAGTCCAAGGTTAATGTCTACTATGCATTGAACGTTTTAAGCCATATTTTGCAATAAATCGAAAATTAAGCGTTATTATTTTTATTCATTTCACGTTAAATTAATTTCATGACTTTTGATCAAAGCTTTGATTTTCACCTTTCATATTTTGTTTGTTTACTGATGAATTTATTATATATTTTGTCACTTAACATTTAGTCTCCGCTGCAATATAAATACATGTGAGCAGGCAGTGTGTGACTCGTGATAATGCGATCGCCGCATTGCCATGGCTACAAACAACAATTCATATCAGTTGGAGCTCAGCCCTGAGTCACCGTTGTGGCTTAATAAGCTGCCTTTGTGTTGCTTGAATGCTTGAATTTTAACACATGAAAGCCAGCGCAGCAAGTCAGACCTAAGCTGTTCAGATGCTAACCGCAAAGCAGAAAACACGGATGTGGAATAATTGTACGAACATTTCTTGGATGACATTTTGAGTCTATATTATTTTGGTTTATCAATTCCGCCCCACCAAGCAGTACAATATTCATCTTAAGCTGGTGATTGAGATTTGTATTTTATAGCCGCAGAAAGCAACACAAATGCAAATGTTATCTGCATGTTTGCCAACTATACAAACATTTTATTTCAGAGCGATATTTTCTAAAAAGAATTCTTAACGTGCTATATGACATGATTTGAAACTATAATTTAAATTTGGCCATCATTAATTAGAAGCTGTGCTATAAATCTTCATGTAAACTATGTACAACTCATTTCTAAATTTCCGATGGGGTGAAGAGATGGTGCAGTGGTAAGCAAGCTGACCTATGACCTTGGCAAGGTGAGTTATTCGGAGCCACGGCTAACATTAGTGGCGAATGGTATCTGAAACGCTCATGGGCGCTCACCTTCACCAACCTGCACTGACCAATGCGGTCAAGCAATCCCCATGATTGACAAGCTGTCGAGAAGCCTTCATCTAGCAGTGGATTGATGAAGGGCAGCATATTATTGACATTAAGAATGAGATAAATTGTAGACAAGAGGAGTGTTTTTTTTGGTACAGATCTAGTAACTGAGATTAATTTGAAACGATATCCACTTTTAAAAGTCTGCTTAAATTAAATCTCCACACCTTCTGCTATGTATCCCAAGTCGTGGCCAACAAAGAGTTTGGAACAAAAAATAAAATATAACTCTTTTGATACCTCCGATTTTGCTTAACGTATCACCTGAGATTGGCAACAAAAAACTGTCAGAATCAGACTATTTATTTATCCTAGAGGAATCCGATGAACTATGAAGCTCTTTTTGTCCAGTACGGGCGGGTGAGCAAGTCACAATAACAAATACAAAAATTATACACGGGCGCCACAGTGGCGAGATGTTAACGTCCTCGCCGGATATGTAGGTCGTAGGTTCGATCCCAACCCTGACGCCTGTGTACGTGGAGTTTGCGTGTTCTCCCCGTGGCCTCGTGCATTTTTCTCCGGGTTCTCCGGTTGTTCCCTCCACAATTAGAATCAACGTGCATTTAAGAACATTTGGCTTCTGTATAATTTAAACATGATGAGCCACTTCGTTTAGCTTCCATTTGTGGCCAGGTTGCGTCCGAATAAGAGCCATATAGCACAGTTGGCTTTACCTGGTAAAATAAAAATGTTTAATTTTAGATTTGAAGCTTTCGTGACTGCAAGGATCCACACTCTTTGGTTTTTCAGTAAAGTCGCGTAGGTTAAAAAAGTAAAACAAATAAATTAAATCACGACGTTTCGGAGGCAACATAAGCCTCCGTCTTCAGGTGGAACCGTCACAGCAAAATTACCGAAAAAACCCAAGAGTAAAAATAGTTTAGTTTAGTTTAAAAGGTAAACAAGTAACTATAAATATGTCGGAGCAGGAACACGTCAGCTCTTGGTTGGTGCTCGCAAGGTATAAGGAAGGCCCTTTTAAGATAACATTCTCTAGTCACATCTATCCCTCTCAACAACAGCAATTTAACGCAATGGCCTGCACCACTGCGGAACAAACCAAGTCTACCATAATGTAAATGCCCTGACCGAAAATGTACCTTCAGCACGACAAGCAAAGGGTCATCAGCAGAAGCATATATCCGCGTGACAATTTTGTATGGAAGAAAAGAAAAAAAAATGCTTGTGAAATAGAAAAAAAATATATCGCGAATGTAGATTTACGCAGGCAGGCTATTGGCCTGGACATTCTCCTCATGTGGAAATAGTAAAAAAATTGCTCTCTTGAATATGGCCACCAAAAGACCCATCAACGTCAAGGGGAATTAAACACGACGCTCCGAGTCGCGGAGGGCCATATCCGTCGCTTTCGCTCCCCTGTTTAACGAAAAACAAAATGAGGCCTCCTCTTCAGCTGATGCTTCGGAAAGTCCCATGTAACCTTTCAATTAACTGCAACATTAGGAGGACGGGTTAGAAAATAATTACGTGTGATTAAAACGATTGCCATGTTGGCTGAAACAACTCCGTTGTAAGTGCATCTGACAGGTAAACAAAACACCGGTCGGTCGGGTGAGATATTCTCATTAGCGGACCTATGCTCTGCAAAAAAAAAAACCCTCTAACTTAATAAATAAGCCCTATACTCTGGGAGTACATTATTCAAATCACCAATCAGCATTGGCTTGTATGGTAAACCAAGGCCAGTGTGCCATAGAATCATTGGTTACACAGTTCATGGACGGCTGTCTCACGGATGATTAAGACTGCCCAGCTTCTGCTGAGGTGATTTAGACTGCCCTTTCATCCAATATCCCCATGATAGCTGCATAAAGCCCAGATGAGAAGACCTTTCAAAGAAACCTATCCTGCTGCGTTGCATAAGATCCAAAACTCTGCGTGAAATTATCACTGTTTCTTTTTTAACAGAACTCAACACATCTATCAATAACACTGCCCTAAAAGGTACGTATATATATGGTCCTTCTTCATAGCACAGAGAAGGGCCATTACCATAACCGTTGCCTAAATTAATATCTTTTTTTCATTTTAGGGCAGCGTTATCGATGAATGTGTGGCATTTTTGTTATTCGTGCTTTTGCAACACTGCTTCTGCAGCATCACGGGAAACGTGTTTGCTTCGGGTTTTGATCAATTTCCATCGGCAACGTACAATGATTCCAGCAACTGCCGCCTAATCCTGCCGCCCTTGACCACTGGCTGCTCAACGTCTCAGCACAACGCGACTCTACACGGGGTCAACAGTCGGTTCCGACGGTCTCGCTGCCTTTTGTTTTTCGGAGAGAGAGAGCGAGAAGGGGATAACAAAAAGAACGTGGCTGGAACTTGCAACTGGACTATGATGGTCCCACGGCAGTTTTGTGTGCTCGTACACAGCGCCACATCGAACAACACTCAATTATATCAACTTAAAGAGAAATGGCAGCCTGTGGGTTTAGCAGTGCACACTGAAGTTTTGTCCACTTTATAAATCACAACGGGGTGCATGTAATCACTGTGTGTGTTGGCAATTGTACCTGTATAATTGAATCCCATGTGTATGTATTGGATACAATGCTCAAAAATAATATCATTGATGTTGAAATATAAAAGTGATGGAAACATTTGATGTAACTTTAGCAAATAGTGTAACCAGGCTACTAATCTTCACGAAAAAAACTCTCCATATCACATCAATAAATGTCAAATACAAAAAAATATGGGAAATAATTCTGCAACAGCAATGAAAAAAATACTTCCAAAAAAGCAATGAATGAGCTCATATAAGTGGGATATTTTTTTCAAGTGGCACTTATTTCGTATCACTTACCCAGTAATAATTTTGGATGAATGTTTCTCCCAAGAATTCTTGATGCGCTACTCAGTCAAGGTCTTTCCACCGCTCCCCAAACTGGCTCCTATGAGATCTGAGGATAAACAACATCAAAATTGCATGTCAGTGATACCCATGACAGCTTACAGTGTGAAACACACACTCAGGTATCTGTCCGGATGAAAACCCAGCGACAAAACCCAAAAATTAAATTAAGCAAAACATAATTTCTTCAAACATACAAAAGCTAATCGCGAATGCGCTTTCGTTAACATTTCTCAGCTGTAAGTGTGCACATCATTAGCACCGTCATCCTGGGAAATGCTAAGTTACGAATATAAAATATATGACAACCACCTTCTCAATAAGACTTTCACGCTTTTTCACATTTTTTTTTCCCCCACTGGCTAAAAGGGCCCGTTAGAAAGTGATTTACATTTTGTGTCAAAGCCTGCTCAGAAGCAAGCAAACAATTTACAGTGCCCGCAGTTTTCCCGTTGCTATCAATGTCACGGGCTTTAATGATTTTTGTAAAAGCAATTTTCTAGTGAGCACTACGCAATCAATTTACAATATATTTGTTTGGTCATTGTTCAGGGGAAATAGGCATCGATTCGGTGACTGCAATCATGGGACGAGGAGCTGTCTGGAGTGGAGCCAAAAGTCTCTCATTCCAATCAGAGGCACCCAAATCACACCTGATGTGCCCAACACATGTTTTGAACAGTTACCTTTAATATTGAATAAAGATGTTAGCAGAGAGGGGGGGAATATGTTGAGAAAAAATTGGAGGGGGGAGTTGTTGCTAATATTATTATTTATATATCTATAAAAAAAGTATATTTTTTCGTATTTTGCTATTACCAAAAAATGTCCTACCTACGATACTAAATATATTAAAAATATATATATGGTTTCAGTTTTTTTACTGAAGCAATATGTACTGTATGTTATCACTCAATGAAACGGTAAGTACTGTATTTACCATAGCCATTTTACACTGTACTCACACCACAAGCTATGCAAACATTTCTTAAAAATCTGACCTTGAGTAATTTACTAGGCTGTCACGATCATGACTTATGCGTTTAGAGAAAAAAAAAGACTCAATACGTATTTTCAACAAATATCAGCCCAACAAATATTAGGAAGATGATGTAACATTGTGAATTTCTTAAAATTAGTATGTTTCACTTGCAGATTAAATTGTATACACAAAACATGTTTATCTACATCGAGTGCAATTAATAGTCTGGTTTTGTCAAAACAAACTGAATCATTCTGTAACAAATTGTTACGTATTGCAAAATGTGACTGTTACATTAGATGGGGGCAGACCTTTGCAAAATAATGACCTTTGCAAGATTAAAATGATAGGGGCACAACATGAGCTCCTTAAGAGTTCACATATTCTCTGCAAAAAAATATTTAGATTTTATGGCGTTGCAAAACTGCAGGGTTTTTTGTTGTTGTTGTGTGTTGTATACATCGAGATGACGAAATTGTGTTGAATCATAAGGAATATAGCAGCGCTTTCGACACACCAGCATTACAGTGCATGGCATGCTGGGTAAAGAATGCATCGTGGCTCACGGGTGCCAAAGGCCAAGGAGCGAGAGTGAGACAATGAGAGACAATGCCGTACAAAGCTGATGTCACATCTCGGAAGGGGTGACCAAAGCTGATTATAACATGAAAACAAGGGTTTAATTGCCATTTTCATACGAATTTTATTATTTTAACTCCAGAGAATCGTTCGTTCAAGGTGAAAGTATCAAGTGTATTGATAAATATCTTTGTCCACGGAAATATTATCATATAAGCACACGTATCGAAGGACACATTCGCATGCATTTTATTTGTACGGAATTCATACGCGTGCAATACAGCGCGACTCAACTGGGAAGCCCCCAATAACCAAGGCAAGTCACTAAACTGAAAGCTAAACACACAAATATTGGGGGCGGGGGGGGGAGAAGACTTCATCTTCCGACCTACGTGGCCTCGAATAATTATTCATCTTGAAAAGGGAAGCTCTCCACATCTACCCACTTACTTAACACCGCAGCAATTTCACTTCTCATGGGGCTCTTCACTGCAATCTACTTACTCGTAAACATTCCACTATTCTTTAAATATTTCTTACCAATTTTAAGGCCAAAGAAAATTGCATTATCTTAAGGACTTATGCCAAATTAGACAAGGCAAGGACATTTTAAACCCACTTGTTTTGCCAAGTGCATAGCCTGTCAAATTTTAACATCAGCGTAGGTCAATTGATATGCATATTATGAATATATGTATTGAGTAAATGTGGTACATAAACCAAAGATATCATCGTGTAATTACTAATACTTGTGAAAATACTTGTAATATATCATAATTACTCAACACCTGCAATCCACATCTTTTCATGTCATTACAAATTTGACCTTTACCAAATTGGCACAAAAATGTATTTCTCCGCTTTAATTACACACGTTCAGTTTTATTACTTACACAGGCGAGCGCTATTTTTAAAGTGTTTTCCATTCTCATGGTGATGCACGGGCCTATGTATAGTGCATGAACGCTTTAGAACACCGCTGCACCTTTTGAATCATGAATGTCTTTTTTTCATTATAATTTTATCACAGCGAAATTGCAGGCTTTCCGACCAATGCAAAATATATGAATAACTGTCATTATTTGGCCCCTCTTGGGTAATAGATAAGGCAGACTCACCACGTACGTTACAACCTTTGACAGACCGAGCTATGGCACATGGGGGTAGGAGGGGGAGGTTTTGGGGGGGGGAGCGAGGGGAGCCGACTCCCCTTAATTTCACTCTTGCCCCCTTTCCTTCTTTCCTTGAAGGCCCCCCCCCCACCCCGGTTGTAAGTTGGCCCGTCACCACATGACATGGGCCGGTTGCGTTTGGGGCTACAAGACGCTGACTTAGCTCTGGGCAGTGGTGCAGCCTTGCAAATGCTCTCCGCGTTGTGAAATCCTTCCCTGGTGCCCCCCCCTGCCACCCGCCGCACCCCCCCCCCCCCTGCACCTCGCTCCACTACTGAAAGGCGAGGTCACGCTTTCAAGAAACCCAAACAGCACGCCGAAAGTAAGTTACAAAGTTGCGCGTTTGAAGTAAATGGGGAAAGCTAAGAAGGGGCTCAAAATGTACCCTGTCGTATGATCGTGACTCTTTACCTGTGCTGATAGTCCCTCCCCTCCCACACCCCCCAATTGCTACCTCCAATCAGGGGCAGGCAGACAGCAATTTCTTGCGCTGAGAAAGCGTGACACGGCAAAGGGAGATGGGAAACATTCTGAACTCAAGAGTTGACAACTGCTATAATATATAAGTGGGCCATTTTTTTGTGTTACACAGCACCACGAAGGAATACAGGCTCTCACCACCTTGCTAGTAAGAGGACAGTGTTTGTTTATTGTAGCCTAAGCCAATGTCGTTTACATTTTTACCATGGGAAAAAAAATCTGCAATAATGCAACTTTGAAAGTATCATTAAGCAATTTGGTGTTAACTTTTTGAAGTTTTTGCATTATTTATAGCCCTAAAATACATGATTACTCTCTGGGGGAGGTTACAATTCTTGTAACAAATAAAAAAAAGCTCAGCTAGGATTGGCATCTAACCAAATTGGCTTCATACAATCAGGGAACAAGTCATGCATATTATTTGGTAAACATGGGCTAAATACATGGCTACATAGGTGCAGCCACAGCTTTTCATCTTAAGCAATAGATGAATAAATCTAAGCACAAACAATAAAAACGCACACACACACAGAACAGTAAAACGCACACACACAAAGAACAGTAATTTTGACTGTTGAAGTTTTGCACGAGCACATATTAAGCTAGGCCAATACGGCACACAAGCTGATGGTGTGGGCATTAGTACGCTCAACTAACTCCTTCTGTAACCCCCCTTCCCCAGCGCAAATGTCTGTTGCTTCACAGCAGGTGCTCATTTCAGGCTCTGAGAAAACCAACGGGAGATGCAAGTTCAGTTTTTAAGACTAATTTGGACTAATGTCCGTGGCCAGGAATACACATACTCACACACACGGCGTACACGGTATATATATATACATAGGTGTACGTATGCATGTTGAAATTCGCACCGTACATAGTCAACCGTGCTAATAGGAGGGGGGGGGAGTCGGTTATATAATCAGGAGCATACAGAACGTAATTTTTTTTAGCAACCGTTAATGACTAAATGTTTTTTTTTTGCAAAATGACACACCGTTCAAGTTTATTTATTAGGTATAGCCCTGTGAGCCATTCAGCTCTTGAATCGGGTGCAACCGCAACAGACAAAAAACAAAAACATGAACAAGAAAACATCTTAAAGTGAATATGTGACTAAGTGTAAACAAAAAATCCAAGAAAAGACAGCAAAAAATTGCAGAAAAAACACCGTACACCAACGCTGTGTGCAAAAATCCCAGTGGGATGAAAGTCAAACAACAACAACAACCACAAGACGACTTAGATTAAGGCTCAATAAACCCGTGGGTAGAAAGCGTATGCCACGTAAGAAACTGCTGAAAAGAAATGTATCTGGAGGTGCCAAACTCAAATCGAACAAGTATATGCCCTCCCTGAGACCCTACGGTAACGACTGTCATGAATTCTGGAGATCTGGGACAGTGACATGAAGTGTGCCTTAGAGCAATCCTGGATACAACAGGGCCTGGATTGCCCAGGACACTTTATTTGACTAATTCACACAATAAACAAGTTAATTGGATGTTTCTGAGTAGCCAATTAATCAATAGATATCAAGTGGATTATGGACTGCTGACAAATAAAATGTTTTCTACAAATAAGCATTTTATGTATTCTTAAATTAATATAATTTTAATTATATTTACAAAGAAATAAGAATGTGATTGTATTTGTATTTGAGTGAAATTTACACTACGTTCAGGGTAGCCACACACATAGGGCCTAGAATATATACAGACTGCTTCTTTAAACAATGGTACGCTCTCATAAATACTGCCCACTGATGAACTTAACTTTCAATCCTGAAATAATGGAAATTCCTCATTCCGATGGTGGAGAACAGTCAATCTAAATGAA